ACATAATCATTATGTTTTTTAAAATTATAATTTTTTGGGATTTTAATCTTTTGGGATTGTAATTTTTTAGATTATAATTTTTTGGGATTTTTTTTTTTTAGAATTTAATTTTTAGGATATTGTACTTTTGGAATTTTATTCTTTTAGAATTTAGTATATTGAGATTTAGTACCTTTGGGATTTTGATCTTTGGGATATTGACCCAAATCCTGGCAGTCAGGATGTACCATTTAATCACTATGCCCTTGTAGAGTTTACTCCAACCCCGGTACTAACTTCACAACATATCCCTACTACTTTGGTATTCAATTCAAGTTTCACCAAGCTCCCAAACCAGATAGCCTAAAAAGGCAGATCATAACTATACACCTCTGGTTTACATGTTTGCCAGCATGTAAACTTTTTTTCTGGAACCTGGAAATTCTGGCAGTCTGGTTAGTTCCATTCAGCACCTCTTCAAAGGCCAGCTCTTTGCCTAGTTTCACAAGTTCTAACTCTATTTTATAGGTCTAGTCTTTACAGTAGCACTGTCGAAAATTCAGATTACCTCTCTATTCAGGTCTTCCAAGTAGGCTTCTATCTTCCTACCTGATTTCTATGATTTACATGGCTAAGGACTTATCTTGGGTTCACACCACCCAGTACCGGTTTGCATTCCTTTGTACAATATTGCACAAATGCTTAAATCTTCTAGTCATGCTGGTATGACATGGGTTACAAGTATCTTATTCCAACCAATCACAGAAGACAGTTAACCATAACACAGAAAGAATTGCAAATTTTTGTGTTCACTGGAATTTGAACTCTAGATCTGCCACTTGGGGGTTGACAACTTATCCACTTTACTAGGTCGCCACACCTCTAAATAAAGATAAAATTTAGTAATTAAATATTTATATATAAAACTAAAATAAATTTAATAGAAAAATTTATACTAAATAATTTAAAAAATAAGACTATTTTTTTTTATAATCTGATTAGTTATTTGATTAGTTAATTTAATATATTTTTATTTTTAAATAACTTTTAATCAATATTATAAATTACTTTTAAATACTTATAAAATAACTAATAAATATTAAAAATTACTTTTAAATGCTTATAAAATAACCAATAAATATTAAATCAAGACTTAATCAAAATGAACTAAAGCTTGTAATTCTGAAAATTTAAATTTATTTTATATAAAATTTTATATAAATTTTTAATAAAACTAGTTAACAATATTGTTAAAATTAAAATTTATAAGCTAAATATTACACAAAAGAAAAAAAATTACAAAAAAAAAATTTTTAAAAATTAATTTTTATTTATAAATTTTAAAATATGTTATAAAAATTTATAAATTTTAAAAAATTATATTGTAAAATTATATTATAAAATTTTATTAGTACAACTAGTTTTGTATTTTAAGTAAAAAATAATTCTAATTATATTCTAAATTAATTTGTATAAAAAAATTAAATTTAAAAATTTATCAATTTACATTTTTTTTATAATACTAAACTAAATAAATATATATATCTGATTTAAAAACAATACAAGTTTTAAAAAAAAGATTTTTATAAATAGTTGTTTTAATAAGTTTAATTGTTAATTGAATAATATCTTATACAACTTTATGATAAATATAATAAAGATTATATAGTTTAAAATAGAAAAAATTTATTTGATAACCAAAATAATAAAATTTAAGATTATTTGCATTTTTTCAATAACCTAGATTATTTTAAACTAAAATTTATAAAAATTAGAATCATTTAAAGATCATTTTAAAATTATTTGCATTTCTTGTGTATTTATATATTTATATGTATAATATAGATGTAAAAAGTATATTACTACAAATATGACAGATCTCAAAATATAATTGCATCCTAGTGACTGTTATTGTTAGTAACAAATAGATTCACTCTTGCAAAATTTCTAGACATGACAATTTAAATACAAATCTTTGCACTTTATTTTTTATTCACAAATCATTTTTAGCTCAAGATATGATAGTATGCATATTTTTTGTTATACACTTTACATATAACAGATGAAAACATATAAATGTCATCAAAGAAAACCCTGTCATAGAAGTTTCAATTATATTTTGTGTACAGTTAACCACTGCCTAAGCAGAATCTATTGTCAGGTTTTCAAATATATTTTGTGAACTTTGAAAAACCTGATCTAATGTAGAGATGGAAAGATAATTACTTATTATGTAAAAAGCTAAATCACACTATGCAACAATTTAACATGTTATTAGTCATAAGTATATATTATTAGTAAATTGTCATGCAATGTGGTTTGATTTTTTACGCAATAAGTAATCACCTTGCCCATCTTTAGTCAAAATATATTTGGAAGCCCGACGATAGATTCTCAGATGGCCAACTGTACACAAAATATAATTGAAACTCCTACAACAGGTTTTCCCTTGACACATATTTAAACAGAATTAACTATAATAAATTTTTTTAAAAATATTAAATCTTATACAAAATAAGTATAGTAATCAGGGTTGACAATGGACTATGAGAGAAATGTCAATGAACATAGTTCATTGGCATCTTCTAAGCCACATTTTGATCCATTGGCCAACCTATACAGTAATAATTAACAAGTTTTTTTATTTCTAATCCCAATTCAAAAATAACCAAATAATTTTTAAGTATTTATAATAAATATATTAACATAATTTACGATATTTACAATTTCATTACATAATTTAATAATATTCTATATTTAACTTACGTTATTATTAAAGTTGAAAAAAAAGGTTAGAATAGTTAATACGAATTAAACATTCAATATATTTAGTGTGATATAGATAAAATTGATTAATTTAAATCAACATATTATATACGTAATTTTATTGTTTAAATCAAACATACTATATACGTAATTTTATTATTTAATAAATTTTGCAATAGCAAAAAACTTAATCTAATTATCAGTAATACATATAATTATGTAAAATATATGACAAAATTTAGTAAATTTAAACTCTTATATATATAAAACCTATACAATCTGAATTTTGTTCAATAGTGATAAAGTTTTATCATATTAAACTAAATTATAAATATATATATATATTTAGGTAATCATAATGTGAATTAAATACACGATCACCTCCAACAATCCAATTAATATAGATTAATTTATTAAATCATGCTTAAATCATTCTATACTATAACAGTAGGGGAAAAAAAGGGTGTTTATTTTCACAATATAATAATATGTCAAATTTTATGTTTTCTGTGTATTAGTAACAGGTTACTTATTCAACCATTTGACCCGAGTTGTAAATTTGATCCAGTTAAATCGTTTTGACACGGGTGACCCGGTTTACTATAACCCGGTTCTAAACTCTAGTAATGATTTTAACGGCGGAAAAGAAATATTAAATCCTCTACTGTTAATCTTCCGACTTTAATACTTCCTTCTCCTAAGGCGCCTGCAGCTAGCTCACGCTAGTTAAAAATACACATGTGAATTTGTGCAAATTCTAATTTTATACAAAATTTCGATTATCTCTATATAAATACCTTTTTTTCCTGAAGAATTAAGATACGATCTTCAATAGTGTCCTTTATAGTCAATCGTTTTATAATAACTTTCTTACATTGACCAATGCGATGAACACGATCGATTGCTTGATCTGTAACAAAAGTGCATTACAATGTAAAATAATAAATAAAAAAACGAGTATAATAATAATAATTATAATCCAACGAACCTTCAACGGCTGTAATGCATCACATATAAATAGACAAAAGATAAAATAGTGTTAACAAAGCCAACAAATTAATTATTAATATTATCTAGTAGTAAACTTACCAGGATTCCACCAACAATCAAGCATAATAACCTAAATTCGAAAATATGGTAAGATTTAAATGTAAATATATATAAATATATCAAAAAGAAACATTAATTACCCTATTTGCTTTGGTGAGATTTAAACCAACACCACCTAAAAAAAAAAAACCGATCAATAAATACAAATATTTATAATGTGCACAACATACTAAGGATAATATTATTACCAGCTTTCAAAGAAACAAGCATAATTGTAATTTCAGAATCTTGTAATAATTTCCTTAAAGCATTATCGCGTTCTCTAACATCCATAGTACCGTCATACTTTTTTAAGAACAAAAGAAAAATGATAAATAAACTAGAATAAAATTATAAAATTCAAATTAAATTACAACATTAAACATTAAGAGCTACCCTGCAAAATTTATATCCGACTTGTTTAATAGGTTCTTCGACTAAATCTAACATTGAAGTCCATTGCGAAAAAACAATAGTTTTACAACCGGGTTCTTCTTGTTGTGCAAAAGCTAGTTCCTTCATTAATTGATCTATTTTAGTAGATGACATAAATGAACCTTCAGGTGCATTGGCAAATGTGTTGTTGGTCGTAAAATTATTAATAACATTGCTCTTTTCTTCAGAAGCTTTCTTTCCAGAAGATTTCTTTTCAGAAGATGGTGAGACATCATCAACATCGGATCCACTAAAGGAGCTTGAAATGGCCTTTAAAGTTTCAGCAAGAGTAGGAAGATCATGATCATCATCATTATCCTGCGGTTCATTCTTTTTAGGTGGAAGAAATACATCTAAACTAATAAAGTCACGTTCCCTTGATTTTTATAAATAAAATTTTAAGCAAATATAATTTAACCGTAAATATAATACAAAACAAATAAAATTTACATACTTTATTGTAGATCGGCAAATAGGACACGTTTTATCCTCAATATCAATAACATTTTCTTTATTTTCCGAATCAATGGCACTCTTAATGCATTCTAATACATAAACATGGTTACAAAATATACAGAAATATTATTACAAAATTATATAATAACACAAAATCATTAGCATCAAAGAACTGTATATTTTAATTACCCAAACAAAATACATGACCGCATACAGTTACGATTCCATTGTCAATGCTAAAATTTAATTTAAAAAGTTAGATAAAATACTCAGAAATTAAAAAAATCCAATACTAAGAATACGTGACAATACTAAGAATATGTAATAATATTAAACTTTTCTGACAAGCTAACAAATACCAATACTCACACATCATAACAAATAGGGCAGTCATCGCTAGTGCTATTATCTTTATACTTTTCAAATAATCGAGCTATTACTTTATCAGTCAATATCTTTTTTGCCTGTTCAAGTTGGTTAGGTATGTTTTTCTCTTGGTTATTGACATTTAATGTTGGATGACGCAACGATCTCGGATCATCGGCTGACATAATAACATGTCCAATATCTTCTTGTGTCCTTAATTTTAATTTATAATCGATCATGTTAATCCAAGAGAACGATTTTTCTTTAGGATTATAGTAATGGACTTACAAAAATGGATGATTGCATGCCTGACGTAAACGTAATAGCATCACAAGAATATATGCATAATTCTTTAAAACGGATCCTAATTGAAAATACGACCATACGAATAAGATATTGATTCAGTATCAATTTAATACCAATTTAATACCAATTTAGTACTGATTTAGTACTGATTTAATACTGATTAAGTGTTGATACAGGGACATAAATATAATATACCTTCTTTTAGGTAACGATTAAATTCTATCCTTGATCGTTTTTCAAGCTAACAAAATGATTATTTTTTAGGTAAGGAGTCAAGACTTTCGAACTATTGTGATCGTATAAAATGATGCATACTGCGTCGTAAAATTCTCTTTCATCTCGTGAAAATTCTTGTTTAACAAAAGACACTGTCTTTGTGGGAAGTTCCAACAATGGCCTTCCATCCAATTTAGAATCTTTAGTCCTACGCAAAAGGATTCCACGAAGAATAGTTTGCGCTTTTTGTATAGCTCTTTGTGATGCAGAGCTAAGTTGTTCATGGAATGTTTGCCAATCCGAAAAATTTGCAATATCGAGAAACCGGAAATAAGGATAAAGATCATCTATATGATTCTAATTTTTTTTTTTTTTAAAGAAAAAACATTGAAAGTTAATTAATTTAATTAATTCAGTAAAATTGTTTAGAAATATATATATACATACTTGAATTGGAGTACCTGCAAATGACAACAAAATGATTTTTTTACGAAATAAATCTTGAGATCATATAATGGTATAAAATTGATTGATAGGAAAGTGAAGAATACCAGTTAAACACCAACGATAAGTGCTTGATAAATAGGAGCATGCTTTACTCGCACGAGAATGACGATTTTTAATATTTTGAGCCTCTAAGATTCGAAACCTTGATTAAAAAAGTCTATCAAATATTTTACAATCATAATGATCATGGTTTGCGGTATTACCGTCCAAAACTACTCTGAACCAATCCATTCGGAATAAAGAACCCCTATCATCCTCTTCAATTTCAGGACACTCACGAAGGAGAGTCTGATAAGTTGTAATTACTACGTCGTATTTTTTCAAATTATGAAAACTTGCTTTGTTTTGACCATGATATACATGTACGGAGAACAAGTCTAATGAAAGAGAGAAATAAATTAACATTTAAATACAATTATTTAAGAGATGAATTAATCAGAGTTACAACTGCTAAATTGGAAAATTGATGGCAAGTAGCGTAGCCATATTAATACAAGTTAACAGCGCTTACTACCAACAAATTCGAGAGATACCTTGTTCAGTTTTACTTAAAATTTCACTCTTCCATTGATAAATAAGAGCTGTTGGGGCAACTATCAATGTTGATTTAGAGGATCTCGATTTTTTTGTATCAGGACGATTTATTACTAAAGTTGCTATGGTTTGGACTGTCTAATATTAAGCAAATAGTAAAATCAAGCAAATAGCAGAATTAAACAAATAGTAGATATATACGAGAAATATATAAGAGAACAATATAAATAAATATACATAATTAATACGTTGTGTAAAATAATTATAATAATAATAATAATAATAATTAGTTATTATTATAATTTATAAAGTAATATACCTTTCCCAACCCCATGTCATCAGCGAGAATACCACCTCTAACTTTTTCTTTTATTTCTTGATCAACCATCCAAGAAACACCAATTACTTGATGATCCATTAATTGGATGGATAAGCCAGGTATAATCCCTTTGCGAGCGTTTATTTTGCGCATAGCTTCGCCAACGGGAGTATGATTAGATTCATCCAGAGGTATCATATCCAAAAGATCTTGAAGATTTATTGATTTTGAGTAATTTACTGGTCTATTTTCGAGCAGATTTGGCTTAGTTTCATTGAGTGAGGGGGGATTGTTGAAATTGAGCATCAAATTATTATTAACATTGGATGATAAAAGGCTATTGACATTTTGAGATAGAATGTTATTAGCAGTTTGAAATGCGGCGTTATTGATAGTGGGAAATGTGTTATTATTAACACTTGAAAATAAAGTGCTAGGACTTTGAGACAATTTCAATGATGATATAAAGTTGCTGTGACCAAAAGTAAAAGGTGATATAGGAGAAAAAGATGTGGGTTCCTGCTTAATTTTATCTATGAATGTTGATGCTGAGGTGAATGTTGGTGCAGGAATTGTCGGAGGATCATCATCTTCCGTAAGATCAATAACCTCTATTTCACATTCAGAATCCACAGTATGTTTCGGTTTAGCATCTTGCTGGTACGGTTTGATGTCTTGTAAAGAAGAATATTCATCAACCTCATGCTTAAGATCTTGTACCGATGACAAATCATCAACTTTATACGATTTAATGTGGTGTAAAGGTGATTTCTCATCTTCAATTACATATGGTTTAATATCTTGCAAAGATGAATTCTCTTCATCCTCTTCAATTACATATGGTTTAGTATCTTGTAAAGACGATTGTTCATCAATTTCATATTGCTTAGCCCCTTGTGAAGTTAATTGATCGTTAACATTGTACTGCATGGTACCTTGAGAAGATAATTGATCACTAATATTAATTTTTTTAATTTCCTGTAAAGGTAAGTTATCACTAATATTGAACTGTTCAGCCTCTTGTAAAGATGGTTGATCGGTAAGGTCATACAGTTCAATCCCTTGTAAAGGTGCTTGCTCTTCAATTTTATACAGATTATTCCCTTGTAAATGAGTTTGCTCTTCAACTTTATACTGATTAATCTTTTGTAAAGGTGCTTGATCTTCAACTTCATACTGGTTAATCTCTTGTAAAGACGTTTGATCTTCAACTTCATACTGGTTAATCTCTTGTAAAGACGGTTGTTCTTCAACTTTAAACTGGGTAATCTCTTGTAAAGACGGTTGTTCATCAATTTCATGTTGGTTAATCTCTTGTAAATTTGTTGGTTCATCAATTTCATATTGATTAGTCTCTTGTGAAGGCGTTTGTTCTTCGGATTCATAATGGTTTACCACTTGCAAAGGTATTTGTTTATAATGATTTGTTACTTGTAAGGATGGATTCTCATCAATTTTATATGGTTTAATATCTTGTTCATCAATTTCATATTGTTTGTCTATAGACATGTTATCGCCGATAAAAGGTAAGGCATAATCATAGGTAGACAATCCCGGTTCTCCATATGACAATAAATTTTGACCACCATATGTTAACAAATCCTGATCACCATATGATGACAAACCTGGCTCGCCGTATAAAGATAAATCTGATTCACTATAAGATAAATCAGGATCTCTGTAAGTCAGTAATTCAGGACCACCGTAAGTTGATAATTCTGATTCATCAAGTTTAGCCATTTTAGTAGCCCTATAATAATAGAATTAAAAATGTTAATAAATGATATTTTTTTGATAATAAATTCAATAAATCGACAAAAAGTATTCGCATACATATTAAAAAAAAAATAATAATAGTAATATAAAACAGACATCAGTCTATAATAATCACTAAAAAAAAAATAATAATAACAATCAATCAATATGATACGGTACCTTTCTTGATTATCAAAGTCTACCCATTGCATATACGAACGTTTTTGATTTTCGTTAATCTGGTCTACGGTCAAAGGTTCGCTATCGCCTTCAAAGAAATAAGGTTGAGAATTATCCGATATGTTTGTATTAAAATATTGTACTTCATTTTCTGGCGACCAAAACACCTAAAATAAACGAGAAAACGCGTGGTGAATTTTTATAATAATATAATAGTTATAAGTTTAAAGACACAAGATTCAAATTTCTACATACTGTACTGTATTGTGAATTAAAAGACATTTTTAAAAGCCTAAAAATGAAGGAATTATAGATCTAGAAAAGCTTTCATAAAAGACCGGAGTTAAAAACAAATCACACCAAGTGAAAATTGCAATACCTGTCTCAGACTAAAGCTTTGCAAGGAATTTATGTTATGGTCTTTTTTAAAACATAAACAAGAACCAAGGTTAATAAAGAATAAGGTACAACTCGAAAGTAGGGTTCTTAGTTTGTATTCACGTACACACTTCTCTAAATCGGAGCTTTTTGTTTAAATAAGCGAAAATGAAAAAGCACATTTATATTTTTGCGACCATTAAATATAATAAACAAAAACAATAATCTATAATAGGCATATTGTATAAGTACGATCAACCGAGAATTACCTAAAAAATGCAGAGCCACAACTATGCATTATCTAACATGTATCGTATCATACATAGAAGTATAGAAATTTCTTTTCTAGGTCTTAACTTTTGTTTCACTATAAACAAATAAAAACAAAAAAAGACCATATCCAAAAAGGAAATTCTGTATATGAAAAGTCATTTCTTTACTTATTACAGTAAAAATGAGGAAATAACTTTTAAGGTTCTGTTAGCATGAAAATTTCACTATACCCAAGATAAAATATAATTATAGTTGCATCATACGTATTTGGAATTATTTTACTGTAAAAAGCTCGATAATGTAATTTTTTTTCGTTCAATCACAAATATCCAATTAGCTATCGGTATTGACCGCTTTTGTCACGCTTTTGTTGCCTAATTTCCTAATTGTCATTTGAAAAAAAAACCTTATTAGAGGAAATAATGAGCCACACTTTACATGAATTAACAATTATAAAAGTTATTGATTTAACCAATTCTAGTTTGTAACCAATTCGTCATCCATTACAATTTGTTTTTATTGTTTGATATTCTTGGTTTTACACAATGTTTTCCCCCCAAAAAAATCAGTACTAAAAAATCTATGTTAGAATTATTAGGATTATTAGGATTATTAGAATTGTTTTGATAATCACTGAAAACATGAATGATGTGAAAAAATGAATGATTTGAAAACATGAATGATGTGAATATGAATGAAAATAGAAAAGCGCGACCCGAATTTCTCCTGAAATACAATTCATAAAATTCATAACGTCATTAATTGTCGAACAAATGAATTTCAGAATTTAGTTATTTCATCTATTGTCATCGTTACGGATTGGTCAATTCATTGCATAACGATAAGCATTCAAAATTTCAAATTAATTAATACAAAATTATCCCAGAAAAAAGTGCACCTTAAATTTATATTTCAGTATTTTTATTAAACTTTTTCTTTAAACTTTTTTGTATATATTAACGAATTATATTACGTAATTATTGTCGGCAATTATAGAAAACAAGTCATATGGCTTATAAGATTTCCGAAATTTTCCGTTTTTTCCCAACGCCAATAAAGTTTTTCTATCATGTGACAAATCTTCACAAATCGAGATTTGTGCTTATGTAATAATTGGCAATTAACAATACTCGATTTGTCGATTTTAAAATGCTTTTGTTTACTAATCCCTTACAACGGACTAAAGGAAAATTTACCTGCAAATGGTCATGATCGATTAAAAATTGTAGTTGTTACAATTCATTTCAAAGATACATTGTAAATCAAATTTATGTATAGTTATATATTTAAAATGATAGCACTGTTTTTTGTAAAAAATTCTTAAAAACATATAACTTTATTTGATAATTAATAAAAGAAATTTAAACAAAAGAATGATCCGATATTCAAATAAATAACATAAATGTGAATATGTGTGCTTATGTATAATAATTTTGATAGTATTCATAGTTGATTAACTATAAATAACTTTAAATTTATTTCATTATACGTATAATATTTCTCCTCTATAATACAACTAATTTTAATAATTTACATTTTTTATCTTGAAATGCCATCAACTGATCTTGTGCAAGTGTTTCTTTTTTAAAAGCTTATTTTCAAGAAAAAAAGTAAATAATAAATATAGCTGAATGGTATAAAAGAACAGTCAATATCCAAACAACACAAAAAAAAAATAGAAATCAAAAACTTGAATTAGTCTAACTCAATGATAATTAATTGGTTCAGACCACAAAAATTAACACCAAAAAGAGCAGTATAATAAACACTTGAATAATGGTATAAATAATTCAGAATTTTGAATTGCCAATTTATTTTATTTTTATTAATTAATGAATATTTAGGTGTTGCTTTTATGCAATTTTGAAATAAGTAGAATTTTTATAACAAAATTGGTTTCTAAATTATCATGTACCAAAATAAATTTTAATATTAATAAATTTAATTATTAATAAATTTAATTATTATTATAAATTAAATTGTAATACAAATGATAAAGAGTTAAGCAGCTTAAATCTGTAAAAAAAATCACAACACAACCGTTTATTATTTGTCCAAAATATATAGTCTGCAGAACAATTAAGTAAAATTTTTAAAGAAGTTAATATGTAAATTATTGTTAAGATACAATTTGAAGTTTAAAATCTTATATGAAACAAATATAAAAATTTTTCAAATTTCAAATTCAATCACCTCAATGATTTACATATTAATCTCTTTAAAAATTTTACTTAATGTTCTGCAAAACCTATATTTTAGATAAATAGAACGTTTTCTTAAGAAAATAATAAATACATAATAAATTTGATAAAATATTTGTCGAAATTTGGGATTTTCAATACGTATAAATCATCGTCTTCGTTACACAAAAATTTCATTAGTTATTTTTACTAGGAGACTATACATAAATTTGATTTACATAATGCGTTTAACACCCCAACTGTACTTGTGCACATTGAAATCAAATACATATTTCTTAAATTATCGATTTCAATAAAGTATTTTTGCATCCATTTTTATTGATGTTTATAATTTAGGAAATATTTAAGTATTTGATTTTCATGCGTTACTTGTTCACACGTACACCCTTTGACAAAAGTCATGGACTTGATCTTTTTTATAATAAAGTATAGTATATATTGAAGCTGTTATGCTATAAGAAATGTTAAACTATTTATTTTAATTTATATTATCGTGCAAACTCTTATGATCATGGATTTTTTTCTTCTTGCTATTTTTTGAATCCCAAATTAAAACTCAGTTAGCCAACCACGACTCGTAAATCATGATCATAATTGCATGAAAAATCGATATTAGATCATGCAACGATTAATATCATGAAATTTGTTCTGTTGGGACTGAAACGTGCCGCTATGCTCCGACAAACCAAATTTCATGATATTAATCGTTGCATGACCAATATCTTACTTATACTTATTTTAAACCTCATCAATCATACATTACTTTTTTAAATCAATTATAAAAGGAACTTTAATTTTTATCCAATCAAAATACTTGCTGATTAAATTCTAGTAAACAATTTTACTAAATTGTTTATAAAAATTTTATAACCAGTTTTATTGCAACTAATAGTTAAAATCGGGTTATGTAATTAGTTGATACTCATTTTTAATATGTTACATGTTTTAATAAGCAATACTAGGGATGGAATCGGCTACGGCTATAGCCGGCTACAGCCGGCTATAGCCGTAGCCGATATTAGCCGACCGAGCGGCTTAGCCGACCGGCTAGCCGATGAAAGATTTTTAATTTCCTGGTTGATAATAATAATAATAATTGTATAATTCAGTATGCAATCATATCGGCGG